ATCGCGAATACTTAGAAATTTTTTAGTGGCGGAAATAACTTACGATGAGGCCGACGGTGCCCGTCAAAGAGCCCATGGAACTAGTCCATCGTCGCAACCAGCAGTGTCGGGTACTCAGAGACGCCAAAAAAAGGTTGGTAGTTGAGCATCCTTTCTGAGTTAAATGGTCCTACTCTAATATTAGGTAGACTTAATTCGAATAACCATTATGTAGACAGAACACTTAGCTTATAACAAAATATCGCAGTTAAGACAAGTCTTGAAGCAAGCGAATCTTTCGTGCGAACAGACAGTCATTCTGTAGGTTCAAAACTTGCTGCAAAAAGCTATTGTTCTAAAAAGGGCCGGGTAAATTTGGCTTGATAAACAAGTCAGTGTTGTAACAATTAAACATAACCTCTCCCCTCTTATAGAACGTGCAGTGAAATATTAGCACGGGGAAAAGTGCACGATTGTGCAACGTTTTTGCATGTGTTTTCTTTTTGCATGTAGCTACCGATCGTGTGTCTCGTTAGTTTTGTGACCTTTATCGAGCATCTTAAAAAATCAACTGGCTATGAATTAATGTGTTAACAGTAGTAATATTTTATACATGCAGATACAATAAAACTATTCAAAAATTATATTCATCATCTTTAAGTGCTAAAATTCGCTGTTGCAATCCACCGTTAGTGAAATAGAAAGTAACTGCTTTTTTTCAAATTAGAGTATACAACATTTACATCAATGGTATTATCTTGAACATCTATAAACATGAGAGTTCATAACGTATAATATCATTTATGATGTGTTTAGACTCAATAGAAAAACTATTGGTGTCCTTAATGTTCTTCATACCCGCCGTATTGAGAATATAATGAAGCGCGATTATAACTCGCTTCGCAGAATCATTACAGTTATTTACATATTTGAAATATATACCATTTCGTAATAAAAGACAATGGATCCAAGAGTAACCTTGTCACGGAATAGCTAAAGTAGCTGTTGGCGAAATCTGACCAAGGCAATACAGGTGGACGAAGAATATTAAACGGCTACGTTAACGCAAAAAGATCTAGTTAAACGACCTTAAAGATCTTATACGTGTCTAATATATCATTGTTCATCTTCTTTTTCGTTACAACTATGTCATTTCTATTCTGGGTTAAATGTAGTACCCTGAATTGAATTGAATCGAAATTAGTGATTTTTTTTTTATCTTAAATAAGTTTTTGACTAAAGATAACATCCTTCTCTTTACAACGATGAAATGGGTTTACTGAGTGCACAAGAGTATTCGATTAGCACATGGTTGCTTAAGAATTAGTTGTACCGGATTCTACTATAATTTCTCCGTTGTCCTCAATAAAAAAAATACGAAGGTTGAAAATGGGTGCCTCATCAGTTGATGAGTCATCATCCGATGAGCAAAAAAGTGCATTTATAATATTTGCTCCCTCGGTGCCACAAAGTCAGTCCCAGTATGATCTTCTGAATAAAACGTTCACAAATGACAAGCAGTGGATTCAATACTGCTAAATATTTCAAGTGTTACAATCTGTTTAATATTGCTGGAAAGATCCTATGATTTCCTCTAGCCGACAAAACAGTGCCCCCGTTCTGAATCTTTTTTAAGCGTGTTTAACACGAACGATTTAGCGCACTTGAACACATTTTATCAGATGGTTTATATTGAGGTTCAAATATAGAACTATTATGAAGTTCACCTTTTGTTCTCCGATCTAGACAAGCTTATGCGTCCAAATTCAGTAGGCAACACTTTTCAGTAACAAAAAGTGAGTGTGTTCGGCACAAAAAAGCAATTAAAGCATCAAGTATGTATGTGGTGGACTAGCGAAGGCATCGTAATCTGCTAGTTAAGCATGGCTAAACGCCATGCGAAAGGTCTCTGCACAGCTCGAAAGTGTAACAGCTTGCGATATAAAGCTATATCGTATATACCTAATGTATATCCTAATAACTATATCCTCAACTCAACCATTACATCGAACAGAACAGACTCCTAGAATTTATAGGGAGTCTAGAGAAAGTTGTAGATAGCCGTTGTATGCTTACAGCGGTAGGATAACGCCCATAATCGGAGACGGCACTCGAGGTGAAGAAGAGATAACGATAACGAGTTTATGCGTATGGAAAAAATGGACCAATAAAAACCCAGATGTGTATTTCTCATGTTTGTAATAGTAGCGTCGAAAGTAATCGATGTTATTTTCAAAGAATAGTTGCAATTTCTGTACTTCATCACGTTAATATTATGAAGACATGAGTGACGTCATTTCAGTGTTTTTTTAAGCTAACTGTTCCAAAAAAAAGCATGATTTAACAAAAATTAATAGCTGTAGAGTCATAACATTTAACTCTAGTGAAAGTGGAGGCAAGTTCTCAATAGCAAAACATGCGATAACCCTCGTCGTAGTAACAGTTCGTTGTTTTATTATTAATTTGATATAGCATCTACAAGCAGCTTGATTTATTATGCGCGCCGTAAGTAGAAGAGATCGTCTGATTTCGAACTAGTTAATCCGTAGATTAGCCAAAAATAGAACGGGAAATATATTTATACCGATACATATTTTTCGACTTTAGGCAAGTTTACCGATGCTACTTTACTGAAGCACCTGCTTCCGTGTGCTAGTAATGTGAAATCTAACCATATTTTATTTGATTATTGGTGCTTTCGGTCAAGTATGGCAATTTACCGCGATCTGAATATTACCACAAAGGAATGGAATGATCAATCGTTGCCTTTGCTATCCCGATGACAAAAGCAGCAGCGTGAATTGAACGAAACATTCAATACCTACGGGTAAAAAACGGAAAGCGAACATCTCTTGACAGGGAGTAAACAGGTGATTGATTGCCGCTACGGCTAATTTTATTTATAAACTGTGACTTTGGCACCCACTTAAGAAAAAAAAGCGGCAGTGTTACCTTCTCGATACACTCTTTTCTTTGATGTCAGTTTACCTGAATAATGAATGTGTCTCGATCAAAATTATAGACTAAGATGTTACCGACAGAGATCCATAGCCTCGGTTTGGATTGGAAAAGCATCACCATCCTACAAATTACAGGCTGATTAGGAAAAAAATTCAAGTTTAAAGACGGGAATAATTTATATCCTTGTTATATAAGTTATGTTGTTGTAACTTATATCCTTATTATTTACGTTGTTATTTGGTGTTATGGCTACTACTAAGCTAAATCTCGAGGCGACCACAGCGCAAGCTATTAAATTCGCATATAAGAAAATTCGATGATGCACTTGACTGTAATCTGTATGTACCTAGAGATTACCGGAGAAGTAATTCTAGTTCTGACGCACTACCTTTTTTGTCTATGTATAAGAACCAAATGTACAATACAGACACAGTTACGGAAACATGGTGAAATTGATAATTCTTTAATATCAGCGATTCAGAATGGCAACACCATCATATTCTGAGTACATATTTCCTTAATGAATTGTGCGCTTGACGGGATCACCAGCAAATACATGGTGATCTTATGCACCAGGGCAGTTTGAAATTCCTGGAGGTCCGCAACACGTGTAAGGGTAACAATTTAATTACGCGTTAGAGTATTTTAAAATTAAATTTAGAAAATGACTTAAACGACCGATTGAACCTTGTGCTAGCTTCGTGGAAAAAGTGAACAAAGACACAAGAATGATACGAATCCCTAACGGTTACGGAAGCATCTATATTTTTTTTCTGTTTGTTGCTATTTATGAAGTATCGAGAGGCGTTAGAAGTCTACAAAGCTTAGAACTTAAAGAGGTCACAATTTTCTTGATTTTCTCTTTCTGTGCAGCTATTTGGTTTTATATACTATTTAATCTACAAATATGAAAACAAAGAAGATTGTAGACGTTAGCTTCTACATATTTTTTAAACTATGTTAATGCCTGCCATTGAGAAACTTTCGCCGATTGGTTGCCGTACTTTCCATTGCTGTAGCATCTCAATCTTGCCTGGCACATTTTTTTTAGCTGGAATGCATCGTCTCCGCCTACTTTTTCTGTGAGTTAAATGCACAAAGGACTATCTCCCCGCTGTCACGCTGGAAGCATCAAAAAAGAATAAAGGACTTTCTTATGTTAGATCAATAAACATGATTTTGGCAGCAGGAAAACGGTGGATGTGCTTACTTCACGAAGAATTTAAATATGCATTCAATATGTACACGTCATATGTACAGATTATATATATATATATATATATATATATATATATATATATATATATATAAGACATGTATAATTGCTAAGACTAGTTTTGCATATACTGCGCTAACATAGGCGGTGAAAATTTTTGTGAAATCCAAAGGAGACCTATAAGAGACCAAATAAGCATTCTACCTGATCTAAAAAGCATTTTTATTAAGTTCTTGTGAACTTATAATCTTGCCTATATTGTTACAGTGATATTATTTTAAGTAGTAAAGTTTCTGAGTTAACCATACCTGATCAAATAGGTGACGTAGGATATAATAGTTGACCAAGGTTAGGTAGTTGAGCACTAGGTGTTCGTGGTTACGTTTGAGTGCAGCGGTCTATATGAGAAAATTTTCACATGTTTTTTTGTAAACTTTAAACAAATTAAAAACGAGAATTTTCGTTACTCTTACATGTAATATAGATCCAGTCTCATACAATAAGTACGAGCAGTTAATCTAACTCTTGTTTTCTCTATAAGTCTTTTTGTACCACACGAACAGCTTTCCGACAATAATCCAAGTTCATAGAATTTTGCATATTTTTCGTACTGAATCTAAAGAATCGAACGGTTTATTTAGGTAAAACTTACTCTAGAAGCGGTACTGTGTTACGAAGACGAGTCACGAGGATAACCATATGATATGCTACTAATTATTCATGCTTCCTTGATGGTCAAGCATGTGTTTCTATGACGAAATTTCAACTCACTGTCTGCGCGTTCAGTCCCATATGTATAACTAGTTTCTTACTTGAGTATCTAGAGACTCATACACGCCCCATGTAGAAAACGAGATTTTCGTTTATTTAGAATATATATTCACAGTAGATGTTCTCTCTATAAATATATATAGGTACTAACATGCCTAGTCACAGATACTGCATAAGTGCGAACTGCTACGTGTCCATCGGGCTGTTTCGTATAAAGAAGTATTTCTTACTTGGCACTTGTTTAATAGCTTTATGGCGTTCTCTCTTATTCGAGATACCTTCATATCGTCTTCCCGGCTACCCGTATGTATAGATGAAGAAATGTTGTACATATATGCAACGAAGGCAATAGAAAGGCAGTAGAGTAATGTTGTCCTATTATACTGTTATCTACTTATAAACAGTTCTCCCTTTTTGTGTTTACTATTAACATTGTTTCACCGATATATTAACAGTCAATATCAGTAAATCTGGTCATACAAATAAAAATTGAAACACAAGTTCGTGGGACAGCTGCAGTGGCGAGCTAAGTAAAGCACCAACCTTACAACTGTGAGATGTCGTGTTTGACCCCTCCTTAAGTGTCAAAAACTGTTTTTATTGATTTCTATTATACATGCTTTTTGTTGTGTATTTGAAATTATATCCACCCGCACCATAGCCATCAGACCTTTATCTAAGGTACAGGTACTGAGAGGTTTCAGTGTTGTGCAAAAAAACAAAACGTTGTATTTACAAAAGAAGTCTAGGAAAGCCAACGTCACGATTTAACTACCTTGAGTTCCTGTGGCTCAATTAAGATTTCTGTCTCTGGTGTTTTTTTCGTTTTTTTCACATTTGTTGCGCCGTTGTTTGGTCTTTGTACGATGAAAGTTAAGTACGAATAGAAAAGACTGCCAATCATGGAGATGTTGAGTCCGATAAAATTGCTCACGCTGAAAATGTAATCACCGCCAATGCACATGCCTATATACGTCGTCATAATATTTTTTAGGCAGCCGACAATCGTTGTGGTCAGGGCTGAATTATAGGCCGTACACAACAACGTACTGTACATCAAGGCAAAGCCCATGACGCACGAAAAAAAGAAGTACATCACAAAAATCGGATTAGTCCACCCGACAAAGTTTATGGCGCGTTGGAGATCGCCAGTTATAATCGATGTTAATAATAATGGCGGGAGCATAAACATCGCATTATAGAAGAGGAGGCCATATTTGCCTAGATCCTTCGCATCGAGCTTTTTCCGAGTGTACACGCCGTTTGCAGCCGTGAAGAAATCATTGATGAGCACTGACGTATAGCCTTCAAAATCGAAACCAAGGTCGTCTACTGCGGCGATTAGCGCGCCTCCCACCATGGCAAAAACGCTAGCGACAATCCTTAATGGGGCGACCATATTCAGAACATAGAATTCACCAATCATAGTCATCACAATGGAAAATCTCCGCAATACTGTGAACATTGGTAAGCTGAGTCGTTTCGTTCCAATGAACCCTGACACGAGGTTTCCGACGTAGAACAGCGGCAGGGGAAATACTTTCAGCATGATTTTGAATGACGGTGCTGGGAAGTCCACGATTTGAGTTGTTCTGCAAAATCACGAGCAGATAAAAAAAAGAACTACCTGTTAGTAATTTGATACACATAGCGTTGTTTCACTTAAAAACCGAAGCTTTGAGATACAGCAACTTTCACTAACGTAATTTTTGCTTTCGACGTATTGTAGTCCCTAGTAATCCAATTTAATGAACCTTGCAAAATCGCTGAAAAATTAATTACTGATAATTACCTCAACAAAAACGCAGTTTGGATTTCCTTTATGACTTCATATGTAAGCGTAGCGCTATCAACCGGCAGAATACGGCATATTATTGAGCTCCACAAAAATACTATATAATAGAAGATTTTAACTATTTAGATTGAAGCCGTCAGCTTCACAAACATATTATAAGATTGTCACCACATTCCAGCTCTTCTAATTACTTCATTCTAATGATATTTTAACGACACAAGTACGTACGCTGCGCTTGTTCCGTTAAATGCTACACCGATCTCCATATAATCAATTGAGAAATGGTGACATACGCTATACGAAACTTGAGCACCATTCACCTGTTTACTATATAAACTATGTGCACATAGATAAGGTAAATCGTTCATCCCTGTTCATTTATACAGTTTCCATTTGCCCGTGTCCCCCTGCTCCAGTCTGCTATTTTTCTGATCATCTCGCCGGATTACATTCTAAAAAAAAGAGTTGCTGGTTCCGCTAACGACCGTAGAGTTACTATGCGGTGGCTGCATTTTAAGAGTTCGTATCTGTTGATGCTGTCACAATGATGGTTTAGCGGCTAGGTGGGTCTATGATAAGCGATCGGTTAAGTGTTGATGTTTCTGATAGCTGATTGCGCGCAGAAACACAGAAGTCAATACAGAATCTACATTCAAGCCCACGCGGAAACATCTCCAACTCAAAGAGATTAATCATAGATAAACTGCTATTCATCAAAGGTCAGCATTGATGCTACAGCATGATAAGAAAAACGTTCCAAGGCTGAGAGTCTCTTCAGCAACTAGATGTTCTAGGATATCTCCAGTTGTTCAGTGACTCCGATATGACAGGTGTCAATTGTAAAACTCTTCGGCTCAAATAAAACGGCTGCAAATTTGCATGAATTTATTCGCCTTTTTGTTTTTTATCCATACCACACAGGTCTTTACGATATCATACGAAATACTTCTTTTCGCCAAGTTCAATAAATTGCTGAGACGATGTCCACAACAGGTAGTGCTTACTAGAATACGGGTAAAATTGTTTTGCTGTTATAAAGATCTGTTGGATAGAGAACTCGGATAAGTCAAGTAAAGCTATGCCAGTACAAAAAATCAGATCGATAGACAAAAACAATGGATAATTCTAACCACTAGCTGCAGCGATAACGGTATCGGTTTTATCGGATGCTGGTAGACCTTTCAAACAAAACGAGTCAGCAGAAACAAAGGATTGTTGAAAGGTTGCGGAGAACTTCTAAAGAGAGAAGTTCTAAAAAAAAACTTTAAAAAAATTGGTCGAGTTTAGCCCGTTTTTTGTAGCCGTGGAAGGTCTTTCTAAATTTGTTGCTGTATGCGTCACAAGGTTGGGCAGAACTGCAATTCCGCAAGACGCATCACACGTTATCGTTCACGAAAACTGTAAATCGCTATCGGCATCGAAAAACAAAAACAGACCTTGTATTTAGCCTGAACCTCGTAGTATTTTATTGTTTGCAGGACAAGGTATCAGTGATTCCAATGATAGTTTGATCATGTTTCACAAGCACACTGTAGTAGAGCGCATAGTTTACTACACTGGCAACAAATGGCGACGAGCGCATGCATTGACCTATTAAAATCAAGAAATATAAGATGTAAAGAGAAGAAAGAAGAAATATATAAATGTAAGACTTTTTTTTTTGTAAGACGGCAAATGCGCATTTGATGCGTCTCTAGGTCATACTGTTGCGTCGTCCTGTAAAACAATGCTTAGTGGCAGAACTGGACGCGGTTCTTAAAATGATATTATCAGGGCCATAAAGCTACTTATTCAAAGTAAAGCAACGGTACTCTGCGACGATCACGAAATGATACTGGCACACACTAGCTGTCGCCTGGGATGAGAAGTTTTGTTACCATACTTCTGGTCTGAGGTATGTCATTTGCAGACCCTAATTATTCATTAGCTAGTTGTAAAGTGTCTTACGTTGCTCTTTCCGCGCTATATTTATGGTTGACTACATCGTTTTTCAGGCTTTTTTGGGGCAACGTGAATACGAGACTACAGTTACAACATGATTAAATACCACCTATGGACCTGACAAGCTCTAAATGGCAAAAAGAAAACTATGATTTGGCCCTGCCACCAGAAAGGACGAGGGTGTTATAAACGCCTCGTACAGTATAAAGCCTACCGCCGACGACAAAAATCCGGCCATGAATAGCAAGAAGTTGCTTGTACCATGATGATAACTGCTGTCGCTCAATAAATTATTTAGTTACAGAACAGAGTTTATCGGTAAAAGTCGTAGAAATGAATGGTTATTACTAACCTGCTACTATAGTTTTTCTTAATTGAAAATAAATGAAGAAACAATTTAATGGCTCTGCTTCACCAATTTTTTAATTTTCGAATTATTTTTTCGAAAGTGGGAGCCCGTGGAAGTCACCTTTGTATATAACACCAATTTATCCCCATATATGTAATAATGGTTTATAACGGAAATAAGCTAAAGAAAGATATTGGTGGAACTACTAGTTCTGGAAAATATGTCCTTTGTATAACCCATCAAAAATAATATTTAAAAAGACAAGCAATCAACTTACTTAAGCGCGCCGAGCACGAAAATCGCCGCAGTCATCTGGCCAAGTCCAAGAACCATTGGGCTGGGAAAGTTATACGACGTAAGCACTAATTTATTCACCACCATGATCAAAAATGACATTCCCCCGTATAATGTAGCGCTAAAAAGCTTCATACATTTTTTCGAGTGTGCCATCTTTTTCACTCGTTTGTATCCGCCTGCGGTAACTTTGTCTACCAAAATCATAGTTTACGGCGGAGTGATATTTTTTTAATGCCAACCACATTTTCCATGTTGCCCCACGACAAAGGCTGGCTAGTGCATCTGAATTTCACCAGTGGTAGAAACTTAGGTGAACCTTTCGTTGCATGGTATAAGGACAAAAAAGTGATCTTTGAAACACCACGAACGTTCCGAAAAGTCCGCAGAGTTACTGTCAGACGTTTCGCGCACGCCGCAGCTTACCTACAGTAGAAAAGACAGCGGCTGATTAGTTCATCCAATGGTGCTATTTTGAGCTCGGTTGCAGCCACCTCTCTGCTGCGTCTTGCTTGTGCTTCCTGGGTACGTATCCGAATTTCTGCGCGATAAGGTGACGACTATCCGCGCTTTCTACGTATACTTTCTACTGTATGAAGAGGTCAATATACTCCCATCGAATGTATGATAATAACTGTTGATGAGCCAGCTGCTATTGCGCCGCATTCTAGATACAACCACTTTTTCCTCTATAAGTTGCTCCGGCTTAGATTACTACTAGGGGCTCTCACTTTTTCGGTGACTTGACTCGCGCCCCCCTTTTCGCCGTTACTGTCTCCGGCTGTTATTTAGCCCCCTATTTAATCGGCGACAGTCACTGGGTTGTAGCTCTGTTACTTGAGGTGACGAATGGCAATCATCTGATAGCCTGCTTTGACAATGATAGTGGGCTATGAAGAAGTTTTTGTACCTGTGGTTAATGCGGTTATGGGCTGGCGTACGTCTGCGAGTCGTATTAGTAGAGGTTGCATCATTCGTATGGCGCTTAGTGTACCAAATGGTGTTCCGACTGCTAGAGAGATGGAAATCGCTTCTCTCAATGCAAACCTTTGAGCTGTTACTGCTGTTAAGGATCGACGGCTTACGGCTGATACTGCCGCTGGGAACTGAAATAGAAACTGATGACTGGGATAGCAATGGCGACATTGGCCACAATAACCACACGGGAATGGCGGTTGCTCGACGCAATACACTAGCACCGTTTCTGTCGAGGAGGCACCGCTGTCACTAGAGAATGACGGCTGTAGCGGTTTCATGGAGGGGCCCATAGAAAGGGAAAGGCACAGGAGTCGTTTGCAGGATCGAGCGAGGAGATTTTGAGGTAACGTAGCGGACGCCAATATCCTTGAACAGTTTGACGCCTTCGACAAGTACGCTTTGCTTCAGGACTAAATTTCTGGATTCAATCCATGTGCACCTTATCATTACATTTTTCTGGATTCAATCGATGTGCGCCTTATCATTACACATTCACACTAAAGTATAGTACGTTTAGCTCGATTCATAGGTTAAATGCCAAATGCTTCGGTACAGTAAGGACAATGATATTACTTCTGTACCTAACAACATTGCTGATTATCCTACGTAGCGACGAGGTAGTCTGCTTGTGTGCGTTAGATCACAGGAACAATAAGGCAAATGGCTCGACAATTCACACGTGTACTCACTAATTGATCACGCACACAGTGGCCAGCTTTGTCGGAAAAACTCAAAAACATCTACGACTAAAAAATAAGTAAATCGCAACACTGTATTGTAGTCGAGTAGTATTTTTAGAAGATGTTACTTGCATGGGGGTTTCGATGAAGCTATAAAAAATAGCAGATTTAAAAATAACTTTTCGCTAATACACGTGCTTAGCATGAATCATACACGTAAATATGTCACTGGAGAACTAATACCATTATTGTCACAGTCAATACCAATCGGTAAATCTTCTTCATTCACCAATGCTTCGTCAATGCGATAAACGTGTAAACAGTTGACTACTGCTATTGCAGTTTATTCGGAACTCGAGTTAAGCTGGCAGTGCTGCCGTTACAAAGGGCGCTGTCACGAGTCATATGAACCAGCAAGGCTGAGTGTAATTGTCGGTAAAAGTCTGAGCTCATGCATTTACTATCAATGCTGTCACAGCGTTTTGTGGTGGTAGAAAAGGTGAGTAAAAGCGTTAATCTCCTTCATCTAGTTAAAACCAACAGCCGATTTGCTAACGATATGAATCCGAGTTGTTGTCAGTGTCAGCATCGTTGAACGTCGGTCAATTTATGGAAAGTCGGCAATGATGATGACGAAGGCCCTGGGGACCAGCTGATATCACCATCGAGTGCTACTGTACCCATTCCACCATGCTGCGATTTGCTCCGCTCTAACAATCGTCCAACGGCGCTCGAAGCTCCAACTAGCATCGTTCACCCGCTTAAACGTAAGCATGGCTAGTTTTTCTTTCTTCCAACTACTACCAGAACCCGACGACCGTGGATGATCCTTTGGCAACGAGTCGCTGCTTACTACAGCTCTTCGAGTTGGGAAAGCAACACAATGGCAAGCTACGACACGCGCATAGTTAGCTCACACTGGTTCAGTTACTATCCAAAGCGAAAAAGCGACGCAGCCATAGATATATGCACACACCTGCACACCCACTGGGTCTTATATGCCGGCGGAAAGCAAGAGACAAAAACAGGGCCAGAAAATAACTCTAGTCGTGGTACGCCGTCACTGGATATCACCATCGTACAACACGTCTAATTTCTATTCAAAATAGATAGATTGGACGAGAACTGTCGCAAAATATTAAGACAGCGAGCATCGTATAAGTCTTTGACTTCTGCCTTGAATTTATATGTAGATAGAGCCAAAACATAAGTTGTGGATTAGCGATCCACGTGAATCATGAGAGCTAGTATGCTGGCAGGCAGACATTTAGTGTCGTAGTCTGGTGGAAGGAAAAAGTAATTTAAATATTGCGCCATTCTTAAATCCGCTAAATCGGCAGAAAAGAAGACACTGCAATTGCGGTCCGTTATGTTGGTAAACATTTGGCAGTGATAAGCATGAAAACAACCTGGTTCGAGCCTCAGATGCATTCAAAGCCAATGTAAAGGAAGTTATTAATTTATACAAAATACGACAATAAAAAGTTTGAGTGGGTATGTTGACATGATCAGTTATTCAAGCGAAAAATATGAAAAATACTTTGTTCTATAGTGTTGTCACGGCAAAAAATCTCCAGAGTAGACTTCAGCGTGCTTTAGCAAATATAAAGGTGCTGAGATGAGGCATAAGCAACTTAGGTTGACTCTTCAAGTAAAACGGTTGTCAGAAAATAGGTCAAAAATATTCAATTTTTATTTATTGGATATTAAAAAAAGCAAGGTAAGTTAATTTTAGTGTATATTTATAGCGATAGAAGACTGAGGAATTGTATCGAAGTGGGGGGGGGGGGGGAGCAACAGCTGTAATTATGCTAGGATAAACATGAACAAGTAAGAATAAAAGTTCATTTTTTGCTGTAGAATAAATTGACTTACAAAAGTAAGTGCCAGAAGCTACCAGCAATTTAAGACATGTTTCTTAACGAGGTTTTAATTAGGGTCATTTGTGAAAATCCACAATAAAGAATGTTCGACGACTTCGCAGCATGCCATACACATTTTTCGAATTAGATATGTAAGCGCTCTAAAAGTATATAAAATGGCGATATTTCACAGCATAATTTTGAAAAGGAACGACATCCTCTCGCAATCTGGCATATAGCGCCAATTTTCGCTCACATCCGTTGGCTTTTGGCTTAACACGGCAAATACATAGCATTAGTAGGCTGACAAAGTGTTCGGTCTCTCATTGAGAGTGTATAGAGATAGATCGAAAGTGACCAAAGTAAAGTTCCTTAAGGAGTTTCCCGTCTAGCGTCAGTAACAACCCAGAATTCTAAATGAACGAGTTTACTGAGTGCACTGGTATCAATCTCGAAATGCCTATGGCATCCAATAAAGTCGTCTAAAGTGATGTAATATAGCTCTTAGACCTCTATATTCAAAATATCAGTTGACTGAATCAATTAAGAGTTGAATTCGTATCCTTTGTGATCTATGGTTATGCTTTTTTTGAGAATGATAACGAAGATACATACAGAAGATGACAAGCTTTAAGCAAAGACGTTTAATTCAAACGAAAACGTATGCCAATTTTGAGAATGGAAAAATTGAAGACTTCGATAAAAACAAAAGATTTTAGGGAATTTGAAATAACCAACTGAAGACATTTTGAGCGAAGGCACGATTTTGAAAACGATTAAATATGTTAGGCAATCACCTGTTCACTTAAAGTTAAATAAAAGACGTTATTCAATCATATTGCTTATACCATTCGCAAATGTCTAATGCTCCACTCCAGCTACAAAACGACTTTGCGTTTTTAATATTATTTTCATGAACTTGTTACCCCGCGATTATAGAGCGGCTGTAAGCCGCCCGGGAGCAGAGACCAGCGAATGCTTCCATTGTCGTCCTACGCTCCCTTAAATGAAACGTTGCTGCTCTGAAGTCAGAGAGTATGATCGGCGAAACGCTAAAGCTAGGGTAGCAAATGGCGTCGTCGGCTAGGTGTGCATAGTGTGTGTATTGTAAGTACGCCCTTGCCTTTAATTGGCGGCTGCGCCGAAGGCTGCCAACCGTTACATTGGGCCAAAGTTGCCGTCTGAGGTTTCGATGAAGACAACGACCAAGTAAATGTTATTGTTTTGTTCTCTGCTGGGTATCACTGTTGGCGCCGCCACCGTCGTTGCCCTGCGCCTGTTGCCTTTTCTGCCGCTTTTGGTGTCTGCGCACGCCGCAGTAGCACTCTCTCTTTCCTATAGCAAAGGCAATCTTCTAGCGATCAACAAAAGACATCAGCGATCATAGACAAGCAAGTAGGCGGACAGACCGTTTCTGTACTCCACTCCACAAACCTACGCGACGATTGGTGGCGTCCACGTCTGTCCATGCTGGGCCGGTTGGCTGAGGAGTAGAGTAAGCGCGTGGGCTTTGCCGTCCATCCAAGCGTCGTTCTCGTTCTGTAGGTTTATTGCTTTTGTGCGACGCTAGTCCTGACGTTCACTGGCTTCCTCTGCCCGTGTGCGCAACAGAAAGCGGACGAGCCTGACAGCAACAGCGACGACTGTCGTAGGTGGGACAGCTGCAACAAACCTGCGCTGTTTGTGAGAGCTTGCCTACCGGTACTGTTCCTTCATCCGGAGCAGTGCTATCAAGAGACGCCTTCTGGTATTCTCTTCGCCTGTGACTCTGTGTTTCTCTATAATTTAGCTTTGCTAACACAGCTGCTAATCTTCTGTTTTGTTATTGTCCAGCGGAACGCTGACTGAGCTAGCGTCGAGGGAAGCGGAACGAAGCCATTTCGAAGCTTGCGCACGATCATAGGTGATCGCAGTGCGGGTCTCAGAAGACAGGAGTTCATGTGAAGATCGAATGAGAGACGAAGAAAAAGCAGGGTGTACAGGACACATCTAACTGAAAGCGTGTTGTCGCCATTGGCACTGTGGAGGACTGTGGACTGACAGAGTGCCGCGTCGTGCACTACCAGTTTTACGGAACGCGCACTCGGCTAAGCAGGTCTTGTTATTTGACTATTGAAACTGTGTCGTGTTTTGGTGGCCTGACGTGTGTTATTATGCCTTGGCCATTGGTCGTCATGGCTGCAGGACCAGCAGCAACAGTATTCGCTAGGATAACAGCAACAGCATAAAGACTAGAGCGGGACAAAGCAGTTCCGAGTGATAACTAATCCTAAAAACGCAAATTGAAGAATAGTATTGACGTACTGTCACTTTCGCTAGTGCAGGTCAAATAAAGTCGTTCAAGTGCTACCCAAGCGATTGTGTGATGTGAACCAGCGCGCCACACTCGCGCAGATTCACCTGTTGTTGTTGTTGTTGTCGTTGTTGTTGTTGTCGTCGTCGTCGTCGTCGTCGTCGTTGTCATTGTTATAAAGTTTTCTGGATTTTTCCACCTAAACGGAAGCGACATGGACCGGGCACGGTTTCGGAGATTACCTCTGATAACTAGCAAGGTAAGTAAAAATGTGTGATCAGTTGACTCGTGATTGAAACCGGCGCCTTTTGTCATTGACGAACGCAAGCGTTTCGCTAAGTGACGTTACAATATGCCGGCCAATAAACGCTTATAGCCACGCTCCGAAGGCATGCCTTTGTGGCACTAACGTTACTGCCTCCTTGGGACGGACTGTCGAATGAGGCAGTTCAACAATCCGTCTACTAGTGGCAAGAGAATAAACGCTTTTACCTCTCCACAACGTCTTATCTACCGCGCGTAGTGTTATTGTAGCAAGGGCTATTAGGGCGTAAGTACGAAAGTACTAACTAGCTTTAGGTATTATTCTACACATTATGGACGAGTCTACTCGGTAGCCTCGGACCGGTAAGTTTGTTTTGCCATTGCTAACTATTGGGTGCACGAATTATTTCCGGTATACTATTGCCATCTCTGACGAGACTAAAGTACTGCATAGGTAGATAAATAGGTATAACCCGATTCTCTTATATCATGAAGAGAGCATCTGCAATATTTTACCGCATTGCATTAGACCGACTGGTAATGTAGTTTGTGCTGGCTATCATGTTTTTTAAGGCAGCGTGACATGTTGCTTTGTACGTATCCTCTGTTCATTGGTATGTGTGCTAGCAACAAATCGTGTACATCAACTGCGTCGTTATACATGTACAATGGGGACATAAACAGTAACAGTAGCAGCGCAAACAACAGTAAAAAATGGCGACTATCTGTGTCATTTTGCGAAAGATCATCTGCTATACAGTTTTAATTGCAAACGCGTATTGCACGCTGCTGTGTCTTTAAAACGGATAGTGCGCACTTAATGCACTCACGTGAGTCAGTATACTACGCAGTGAGTAGGACCTTCATGATGTTAGCGGGTGTTGGCCACGGAGTCGTTTGCATGAGATCTGTGCTGCTTACTACAACCGCTACCTCCCCGTATTGCGACTATTCGCCTACCTAAAACAGCGTCACTCACCTCACTGTCAATAGCATTGTTAAGCTAACGGGCCCAACCCGTCACTGCAGTCAGTTGTAGCCGTTGCAATCGCCGTCATTGAGGTCCGAAAAGGGACTAACATTCACAGGGGCTGTGACAGATTGTGCGGTACGCAAACTAGGCCGAGTTTACGTGAGGAAGGCTTCCAGTTGTGAGGACGTTCGTGTTACCGCTGTTGATATTGATTGACGCGGAGGAAATGTTTCGGACTCAGTGGCGATGGCCACGAACCACAGCATGGACATGATAGTTCCGAGTGCGTAAGGTAGCCATGAGTAGGACTGCAAAGGCGGCCGATTACCGCTACTTTAACGTGACGCATGGCGATTCGTGATGTTATTCATGTATACTCACGGTAACACGAGTAAGGTCAACGCCATTTTCACCAGCTGTTATCGACTGTTATAGCCGGTCTTATGAGAAATGAAATTAGTGTCTGCTAATTGACTACATTGAAGAAGGGCAAGTTGGTCAGAACGAGTGTGGTACAGCTGCACGATGTTTACCCTTTTTTGACTAACATGGAACCCGTGACGCACAGCTACTAGTTTCATTTCAACGCTACTAGTTATAATAGTTAACCAGTCAAATAGCAAGAATGTGTTTGTTGCAGACGACGAAGATAGGAGTACAATAACAAGCAACAAGAACATACGTAAATAGTCAGTAGAGAGCCGAAATCCAAAAAAGAGGGAGCCAGCTTTAAGGCAACTTGATCCATTTTTTTCTGCTATATCTTTCTGCTTAACATAGTTGCAGCTGATTTCGCTGATAACAAAGTGAAGTAGACGTATTTTTCATACATACCTTCCACGGTGAGCTTCTGCGAAGTACGAGTTGTTTAGACCTCAAGGTTATCCTACTAACAATAAGGTCTGGTGCTTGTCATTCGTTGTATGCGGCTAAATTATTGATATAAAGACGATGATTTACGATTATTTATAGCTGCCTTTCTTAGGAGTCGCGCCTTGCTTTTCACTGTGCTCGAATGGTTGCTTTGTATTATGCCTGGGTTTATCATTTGACGAACATTTAATGGTCTATTATTTGGTTTGAAATTGGTATAGCAAACAGACTAAAGAGCCGAGAAAAAACGCTGCCGAAACTACCGGAATTTTCGGATGGCATATTGAGGGCGGTAGGTATGAAAAATGTCTGTCGCCTGCTTTAGAATATTATCCTAAAGCGGGCTTTGCAGAATGCCTTATGGTATCACCGTTTTATGCAAGTTGAAAGGTGATGTAACATGGAGTGCTTTATTCGAATCGCAAGGGCCTGGCGTATGACCCAAGTAAGAGGCTGTCGTTGCAGTTCAGGCTTAATCATATGTGACGGTATAGAAAGTTAGTCAATCGAAAAATTTGTTCATTTTGCATAAACGAATTCGTTAGAAAAATAATTACTTAGTTGTTACTTAGTGGTTGAGCATAACTCGTGAACATTGATGTAGGTAACGATATCCTACATCAATGTTCCTAGAATAGTGACTGTGTAGTATCTTGCGTTAATCTAATTCAAGTTCGTGTGAAAAGCAGCATAGTCCTCTAACAATATGATGGTTGATAGTATGATTCACGATTTCATTGAAAATTCTACGAGTGCCGGCAAAAGCTGTCAATTGCGTATGTTATTTACAAATCAGAAAATTGTAACATGGGCCGGGCAGACGAACCGTTCTATGCATTATTTACGTCCAGTTTTCTACAAAACTATATACTGCGTAAACATCAAAGCAATTTCTTTCACCTGTAAAAAAATATCATCTGGCCAAAACGGCAATTATAAAATGATCTTTACTCTTCGCTGGCCAGGAAACATTCAAAGGGCGCGAAGTTTTTGTGCAATGCATACGAGACTTGTATAAGGCTCAGCAGTATATTTATGTATTTTAAAAATATTGTTTCAATCGTAGCAGTTAGTCTAAAAGTTTAAACAATAGACTTTGTTTATCCTAGCGCGTATTTTACTTAAACCTAATTTTCTAATAATAGACGTTAATATTCATGAGAAGAGTTAGGATTAGAGTAGAGGTAGATCACAACAAAACTTTGTAATGGCTGCTTATAATTAGTATGCTGCATTAGCAACAGCATGTACAATTTTTTATCATTTTTTAATCTTTTTATTCTTTATTTTTTATTTTGTTTTTTATTATTTTTTAATATTTTAAATATATTTTATTTCAAATAATAATTGCTTGTTCCCGTGGCGATGCAGTGGTAACGTGCATGCTTTGTATGTAAATTTAGAAACACGCGGGCGTCTGTAGTTCGAAGCCCGGCGTAACCATAAGCGGTGTTTTGTTTGGGGTTAGCCGATTTAAGGCAACGCTTAATGGCAGGATCACCAAGCAAAGCACCCGTAGCCGTTGTAGGAATATAGTAAGAACTCCATAATGATACCTTCCTGTCAAAATAACCCGACCCGAGTCTCGAATCTCAAAGACTCGACTAGTTCTCGCTTCGAGTTTCAAATATCACTCGCTTGTACTCAGTTGCTAATAAAACCTATTATCAGCCTGAACCGGAGAATCACAACGATAAAACAGTCAACACTCGTGTGTCCTCTTCATAAAAACGATGCCATTCAGTTGTCTGTTTCTCGCAAACTCATCATTTGTGTCCGGCCTTGTATCTAACTGCGTTCCTTGTAGAGTGTCGTCAAAGAATTACCGTTTACGGCAGTGAGACTGCTTGGTGATGGTATTCGGCCCTTTTGTTATTTCTTTTTTGGCGGCATCAGAGCATCACTTTTTTGGCAAAAGGGGACAGGGTTGGTGGATTGGCAGGGAATTTGTGTTGATGTCGAATCTCCATGATGAGAACAAGTGTAGCAAACAAAGAGGGAACTCTAGTTCTATGGAGATGAGCGATTATCGCATAGATTATTTTTGACCTCTTAAACAATCTAAGGTTCAGTTCTAAAAAAGTTTTTTTTTCAATATGAAAATATGTAGATGCATGACTGATTCCGGTACTTTTTGCGAGAGTTCATTGGCTAATTTCGCTGCACTAAATGTACTCGTCCCCTAAACTGAATACACAACAGCAAGAGTAGGCTCAATCTCTGTAGTAAATATCGCCTATCGACAAAAGAACCCTTTCGTAAGTGGTCCAGTTTCGACACGAACAACGTGTTATATACAAAATCCACAATCAATCAACTCGCTGTTCCTATCCCATGTTCGCTTATCACCATCAATCAACTCGCTGTTCCTATCCCATGTTCGCTTACCACCACGAGAGCGGCCCAGTCCAGTCTAGTCTACGGCGATCCACTTCCGATCTTTGAAATGACACCGGTCAACACTTGGGACTGCTTACATGTAAGTGTATTTCACTTCAGGCGTTTGCCTTTGCCATCTCCCATTTGCGCACTCATCGACGTCCACATACCGTTGAACGGTATCTCGTTATGCTCCTTTCATTTACTCTGTCGCAGTCTGTCGTAGACGCACCCGATATAGTAGAGTGTCAGAGAGAGTTCAGAGTCGCAGCTATAGAATCGTTATTTGGTGAGCGATGCGAGTTAGCTTCTGTGTGTTAATGATTCTGTAATTATGGCTGTCACTAAGCTGCTGTAGGTACGGATTTTGTCCCATATTAGCGATTACTTACGACGCCGGCGGATGACCTGTAGGTTTGACGTTGCGCTGCTCTTGATGCTATTAGTCCTGCTGGTGCCGTGAATAACCGTCGCAACAGGAATAGAAGATGAATGTGGCGTCAGCGGTGGTCCGAACAGTTCGAATTGAGAATGTTGGTGTTAGTTCGGACTAATGGCGGAATTTGCGACAAAATGATAGAGCAAAAGCTGAACGTAGAATCAACAAGCTAAGGGGTGGATGTGGAGGAAGGTCTCCTATGCCAGGTTATGTGAAGACGGTGTGAGGCTTCAACGGGAATAATAACAGACAATTCCCATGTAAACTGAGCTTCCATTTAACCAGTTGATCTAGCAGTTGGAGAAAATGATTTGTTCATTCGTTAAAGTGTGCACGACTGGCAGCCTTCCCCAGTGGGAATCTTTGCCGCCTCATATCAATCGAATTAAATCAGGTGTTTGCCAATAAAAGCGTGTTCTGTAGTTTCTAAATATGTATGTTCTTTTCGCGGATTTATGCTTTTGGTAAGCACTTCAGTCTTGTCTCAACTAGTGTGACAAATGCAAATCATTAGCACCAGATCTGTTTGGCAATGTTCCAGGCGAAAACCACCTCGGCCTGCTTCTAAACAAATAGTTCAGCACAGAAGTGTGCGTGTCATCTAGGTCATCCATTCATCTATTCAATTTAGAGGCTTTAGCACTTAAGCCTATCGGAAAAATGCAGATTCTAACCACTCGTTTTCAATGTATGAGCCACGGTGCATGTTAAGATTCAGTCCATGCTTAGTTTCGAATGACAAAAATATGGTTAAAAAACGATTATATGAATTTGCGGAAAGTTTTACTGATACCATTTTTGTTATCTCAGAGCCTGAAAATATATAAGCCGCCAAATAACACGGCATAGTGTAAATGCAAGTTATCCGCTATCGAATTTCGTAAATATTAATCTAGATTTTGCAAAAGCGGTAATTTGCTGAAAACTGTGTGGTCGGTTTAACCGAACCCAGTAATTATCATGTGGACGCAATGCAGGTGATCATGTCTGGTGCCTCATGAACTGGCCATTAATGAAGTAAACGAATAATAAGTAACTGTCTCAGAAACATCTGTCAAAACAGAACTTATTGTCACAGTTTTACAAGGCAAAGATCGTCACATGATTTTAACTTTCGTGAAAATTTTATTTGTATGATATAATGGCATATAATATATCACCGCATATAATTATTACACAGAATTACAATGACGTTCGCGATTTTTTTATGATTTCATTTTTTCTTGCTGACCGAAAATTACAGAAAAAGCGGCAATCTCTCGTGGATATTCTCTACAGACATTTTGTATTAGAAGACAAGCTAAAATATTAGGGGCTTGTAATAATTGGAATACAACTTCAATATCGAATAGAAGCCAGCTTCAAGACCAGCAGCTTTACCGTAATGGCATCGCAATCGCCGACATCGACTTGTCGGCGAGACATTCTATATCCACCTGCGAAACGACTGAGCTGTTACCGTTTCCCCGTTGAAGTTATCGTTGTTTTCATCTTTGTTTAATCTGACCATGAGTTCTTTGGTAGTAAAGAATTTAAAGTAGGGTGTAGCAGCGTTCCAATATGTGTAGTATCTATGTGTCTATTGACAAGGTAATACAGCTAAACACCTGACTAAGTAATGTCTTAGTTCTTAGTAATAGATCTTAGACTTCTAAAAGCGTTAGCAAACAAGCTATTACGCACACGTGTCGCACCTTCAATTGACATCCGAGCATCCTCTTAATTATCTGCGAGAACTCGTTGAGTAAATTCTATGTACATTATTATACGAGCACAATATGATAGTGCAAACGAATGTATGTGACAGGGTAGTGTCTACGAGCATGCGACTTATAGAAAGTTTTTTTCCTACCATATGTTTAAGCAACCACGTTTTTAATGTCTTCTAATCGAAAGAGTTCGTCGCCAGGATCTAATTTCGATTGTTCTGCATGGGAAGGGGGAGGGCGAGGGTAATAAACCGTGCCTGTGACGTTGCTTACTTTTGTTGTATCGATCGAAATACTAGCAGTCAGTAGGCAACAAGCGGCGTTGGTTAAGAGGTCGGTCACGAAGATGGCCTTGGAGGTCCGTTTGCAAATGGTCTGCAAACGGGGACTTTGCGCCGGCTGCGTCGTGTTGGTAGGTAAAGAGTACAGCATGTTCTGAAAGCCACTTGTCTCGTCGCTAGTGGCATGCAATCGTATGTCTTGGCCATCGCATGTGTCAGTATCTTTAATAGTTTTTTCAATACGACTATGCGTAAGATTAGCTATTTTGGCAATAGCGGAAAGTAAACGGTAACGGTACATTTCTACAGCGGTAGTTGGACTAGCAGAAAATCGACTACAAAAGACGCCTATTATTGCGTTGTTTAACATAAGAAAACACGTGAAATATGATATTTATAACAGATATATTTATAATAGATATTGGAAGAGTCATATCGTTATAGTAGTAAAAGATAGTTGTACTTCATGATCAAAAAAATCACATGTCCAAAAATTTGCGTCACCTCTGGATCTGTCAAGATAAATAACATCACTTTTTCCAATAGAGAATTTATTTCGCACTGATTTTCTTACACTAGTTTCACAGGTAAAGGCATAGGAATGAATTTCTCACCAATCTGAGTTTGTAATACCAATAAGAGAAATGCTTGAAACGTTTGCAGTATTTACTGTTGTTAATGTGTATAGTGTTATTTTATGTACAATTGCACACAATGGCGAGCTATTCTGGGGTATATAGATAAAAATAGCTCTGTTTCCTCGATATTAATAGCGATTTCCAGCATGCCGTATTTCCGTTCAATTGTTGTAACTTCCATGCAAAATTAGAAGTCACTGTCGCTAGAGCCCATTTACTTTTTATTCCATATTGCAAGAGTGAGTCTTCTGTATCGAAAATAAGTTCGATTGTGTTCTATACAGCCCAGAATTAGATTGCTAACAGAATCGCATATTGCATCATAATCAAGTTTTGTCCCCTTATTCATTTCGTATTCAAGCTGGAGCCGAGCGGCCATAAATGGATAGTAAAGGTCGAGGGAGGTCCGAGACGTGTCAATCACGCCGCTGTCAAGGTAGGAACTACAATTAACTTATGTGAAGCCATACGTTTAAAAACCACTTTTTTGACAGTTTATTTTTATTGCGTCAATATTAATCGAAGTTAAGATAATAAGCGTATTATCGATCTGCTGAATTATAGTAGGTTGTTTTTATTAATAAAACGCACTCATAAAAATGTGTCTTGGTCCCTTTAGGGGACGCTCATGACCATTTAGAGGAATAGAAAATAGATCGAGGAAGTGTTCATCTTGACCTTGAACATATAGGTTTAATAATGTATTGAGAATACCCGATAAGTGAGCCATTACTTGTAAGTGTATGCTAAGATCTTTAATGCCGGTAGTACATTAATACTGCACTGACACATCATACTTCGAAAGGAAGTATAACACCGATATTATTGGATGGATACAGCTTATTGGTATTTAATTTTTTGTTAACGTAGATAGTGCATAAAAATGTCAAGTTACTGTTATACCAGGCGTTACTAGAAGAACAAAGAATTCTAAAAATGAATGTATTTGTAGTTTGTAATACCAATAAGAGAATTGTGCGTTTTTATTTAGTTATAGCTAATGGGTTGTTGCTTTGACACCTTATATTGATCCGAACGCGTTCAAATGATATCTTTAGGTGGGAGAATCAATATACTCCTTTGGAGGCTTTTGCACCGGTGAAGACTACACATCATTGAGGCCAATCGACGTCTCGGTGCTCGATACGTGCACCTTCCGATGGACCTTAGTCGAGTCACCGAATCATTCTTGGGAAGTTCTACGCCCTAACGGTTACATACTCAAAAAAGATGTTCCCTTCCAGAGGTCAGTAGATTGGTTGAGCACGGCAGCTTATTACCTGTTTTAGTCTTCGTCCTGTTTTCCCCCCAATCTTCTGGACAAGAACATTGAAGCTTATATTTTTGCGCTCTTAGAACTCTTTTGTGATATATCGTAATTAATGTCAGTCACTCGTAGGGTTAAATCTGGATTTAGTTCTGCGATTCATATGTTAGCAGCAAGCTTGGTGCGAGCATTAGTAGAACAAACTGCTAAACCTTAAAATACCTCAAATTGTCAATCGGAACTCAACTTTATGAAAATGTAAACTGTAAAGCAGCTTGATAGAATAGGGTAAGCATGGCAACCACGAGATCCAGGTTTGAGTGAAAGGGATTTCGGCTTAGAAACAAACTTGCTGCTTCACATTTTGATTATGCTTAATTCTCTGCATCCGTTACCGTTGATTCGCAATTTAAATCCCCTACAGTTTCTGGTGTGGAGTGACTGAGAGCTATTCACTAATTTTTTGGTTCCGAGATTCGACTTGAATAAAAAATTAGCCACTGATGACTGAAGTACTTACTAACGGTTGTAGCTGATGAAGGATATAAGCTAGGTAATAGAATAGCGTCCCCCCCCCCCCCCCCAGAAGAATGTTTTGTAAATCGGTAAATCGAGTCTATTATATATGCAGCTTTGTACTAGCGTATACTTAGAACATATAGAAACAGTCAATATATGATGGTCATTTGAAGCGTTTTTTTACGTACTTTGGACTGATGTGGCAGGTATGGCCATACTGTGGTAGCGTATGAGAACGACATATACCTGTTCGGAGGCCGGAATGACCAAGGAGCCTGTAATAAACTCTATAAATTTAGCACAAGTGAGTTTGTGTATAATAATCAACCATAAGCTGTAATCTATTGCTATTTTCAGATGTTAGAGTAGATTCATCGTGCTTTATATGCGATCAAATTCGACAAGATTATACTAAGCGATGTTTTCAAAGCACTATTTACTATTCCCTTTTAATTAAAAAAAAAAAAAGGTCCTTAGAAAATGTAGTATCTGTGTACGCCTCTTTGCCATTTTCATGTGAACCCCTAAAGTCTATACTACAAAAAAAAAAAAAAAAGTTTGTCCGTATGCTTTACGAGACGTACAAGATACCTCATACAACGTTTTTTCATTTTATATCTTTACGCAATCAGTTATATATTCCACAACAATATTACCTTGGAATCCTTTTCAAATAAGCCGTGCATATGACAAACATTTGAATAACATTCTTTTGTTGCTCATAATAGCCGACCTGAAATGGACGCTCATTAGGGCTACTGGCTGTATCCCTGGTGCACGCGACGGGCATTCGGCTTGCGTGATCGGTAACCGAATGTATGTATTTGGAGGTTTCGAAGAACAGGCGGACCGCTTTTCGAACGATGTGTATGCTCTGGATTTATGGACATTTAAATGGGAGTATGTTTGCACACAAGGCGTGCCACCCTCGCATCGTGATTTTCACTCGGCGTGCGCCATTTACAACCGAATGTATATATTTGGCGGCCGAGGCGACATGGACAACCCGTACCACTCTTCCAGGGACACATACTGTAACAGGCTAACGTACCTTGACACAGAAACATCTCGGTGGCACTTTGCACGGGCTTTAGGCGACGTGCCAACCGGACGCCGAAGTCACTCGTCCTTTGTTTATCGTGGCGAAATGTACATCTTTGGAGGCTACGATAGCGTAAAGAAGAAGCACTACGGTACCATGCACTGCTATGACCCCGGTAAGCTTTTTTGTGCGGAACATTCCGTTAAATTAGGATACACTATGACGGTCTGTTTAACTTACTGGGTCTATGTTCATACGTTATTCAAGGTGCTAACAGAAAGCCATTTTCTAAAAAAAACAAATGAATTAGAGTGATGACGAAAGTTGCATTTCCGGAATCTAAGCAAGGGTCAGTTGTTGTTCAATGTCTTACCGGACAAACTCAGGGATTTGGTACATCAACGAATTATGTTACTCATTAAATGTAATGGCTTCTGAATCATCTGGAAGACTTCCGTAGGCCAACCTGGATGACTCATATGAAATACTAGATAGTAGTAATCGGAAATTGATCCGAAGGCATTTTTTTCATTATGCGGGGTTTTTGTGCGGATATACTGCGTATATTTTTTTCAAGATAAGGTAATCTATTCCCTACGTAATTACTTACACAGGCTATAATAGTTCACTTTTTTCAAGTTGTTACGTTTTTTTCTGCTTTTAATATTTTGTCTTTTGGATCTTCGGAATTTTAGGATCTTTGTCTTACTGTCATTTGAAAATTGAAAAATGAAGTTAATTGGTTTCTCGTGTTTGGAATGATTAAGTGAGATTTATAGCGAATTTAAATGTGCTACTCTCGCAAGTGTTGCGGTTTTATTTACGATTACTGTCAGAGAATTATTTATTTTATACAACCGTTTTTTGAAAATAGCTTGCATATGGCCAAGGTTTCTAAGCAATGATTAAAGCTTACGACAGTCACTTAAAGACGTCCACAAGGAATGTCAATATTGGTACGTGGAAGAGTCAATTTAATGCCTGACTTTTTGTAGGTGCAACTCACTTTCATCCTTACAAACTCGGTACATCAGGACTCACCATATTAGTCGAAATATTTAAAAATGCGAACCAAAAAGAGCAATTACAGGCCGAGCTACTGTCAACACTTAGTCGTATTACATATACTCCTTTTATCTATCTAATTCGTTGAATGGTGGATGGATTTTTGGATGCAGTTTCCGAGCGGTGGCGGGAAATTCCGATTAACGTAGGCCGAACAGGACCGCCATGTGCCCGACGACGTCATGCATCGGTTATTGTTGAAGATCGGCTGTTTGTGTTTGGTGGAACCTCTCCAAGCAAGCCATCTGAAGGCGTTATTGGAAAGATGCCTAACGACGAGGTGCGTGCTTTTTAGGTAGTCTCTACTGGATGTATGATAACCTTTTTCGTTTAGTTCAGTATTTCTAATTATTCTATATCTGTGGCTAAGTTAATGGATACTACTTAAAAAAAAAATTTGATACAGCACTGTCTTAGTTGTTAAATTAATCGCGCTCGCTGTATTTAAACTTCATACGCACTTTGATGTCTCTTGATATTACAGTATGATGATACCAATCCAATGCAAGAGAAGCTGGTAGACCATAACGATTTGTACGTGCTCGACTTCCGGCCAACACTAGTGACTCTTTGTCTCTCGAAGGTCATCGAAGCTAGTCTGAATCAACGGGATTTGCCCATCTCACTCCAACTACGACTTCGGGATATGGTTGTCAGTAATCAACTGTCAAGACCAATTGACTATGCAGGATAATCGCTGTTAGCAAAAACATCGGCGCCATCAGATACACAACTGCTTCACATCGTCAGAAATCTGTTGAAGTATCTATTTCCTTGGCTAATACTAATGAAAAAATAAAACTAAATGCGAAAAATGTCAAAGCAATTCAGTAAAACCGCGAACAAACAGGGAATCCTTTCAACTAATATTCGGAAAAAGAGACAAAGATACCGAAAGGACATATAAGAGGTTGATAGTAAACGAAAACCATGGTCCATCGGAAGTAAACAAATAAGCAAATTGCAACGGTCACCATCCGCTGTTAACTGTTAGTGGAACATTGATAAGGTTCTTGCAGACCTTTCTAGAAGCGGGCGTGGGCCGCGCGTAATGAAATAAGGCGCACAAAAAACTGCCTGCTACTTTTGAAAAAGCAGTGGACTTGACGCAACCTGGAGTATAAGGAGACATCTTTTCGTCAATGCAAAAGCATCTCGCTGGTATATGGTTTCTTCTTCCGTAAACAAACACTATTACGGCAGTGGAAAGAGATGTAAAAAACCCGAGAGGAACAGAAAAACAGTGTTGCCGCCGTGACGTTAGAACGTGACACGGCTGGTAGGAATAACACTATACTATGTGGTGGGCCAGTGCGGGAGGTCTGCATAGCTAAGGCCACAGGCTGTACGAGGGGACGGTATCATTCGATCCTGCTGGACAGGGAAGTGTCCAGAGCCATGTATCGATTACACACATATATATATTTATATATTATATACACACCCATCCTATATTCTTTCCTTTAGACGTTGGGCGCAGGGTTCGCCACGTCATTGTGTGCAAAAGACATTGAGTAACATTACAGGCCAATTATAGAGTAAGTTGTAGAATGCGACATTATCGAAATGAAGATAACCCAGGCAGATCCGCAACCTCCACCTGTCTAATCTCCTTGCTGCTGTTCTTAAAAACGACTGAAGTTAGTAAAAGTATAAGGCGATTTGCTTTCAATGAACCTCAATACATTGGTGATTTAAGATGATACCGAGAAAAATAAACTAGCAAAGAGAAACACACGATCATGATGGTACAGTACGCTTACTGCATACCTTATTACCTATTACGTATGATTAAAGGTTAATGTTAATGAGGATTATTGCCGTCTGATATACAAATAGATTAGACTTGCGGAGGTGCATAGAAGCACCCGTACACATACGAGCACACACACTGACAGGCGTTACAGTTTGTTACAACAGAACCAGATTTGAATCATGGCGAATAACTAACAGAAGATATAGTGGAGGCAACATCCGCAGTAGAACTAACCCCACAACTGGGGCAGAAAAAAAAAATCGGGCATTCTGCTGTTGCCAAGATACCGTGATGGTTATGTAAGTCTGTCAATTACAGTTAATACTATACTGCAGAGCAAAAAATAATATATAAAAATGAGCCTAATATGAAGACAGAAAGCAATGAGATTACGGTGGATTGTATCTTGATATTGAATCATTGGAGACGGCGGTCACGCATTGCCACAAACTGACTATTGATACGGAAATAGTAATGGAAAATGATATGAAAGTGCTGAGGTACACTTGTGTTTTGTGAGGTATGAGTCTCTTACCACAAAGGCAAACAAAAATGATTTATGTCCAATGCCTACTATGCTGTTTAATATTGTGAATATGGCCTACTTCGTCTGAATTCGATTTTAAAAGAAGGTAGAAATAGCTAGATTTGCAGACTGATACATCAAATGGTCACGTTAAGCGAGAGAACGGGCAGACATAGAAATGCGTGTTTTTGCTTTTTTCTTAATTCTTGAAATTCAACCCGGTTTTTCCCTTCTTTCTTTTTCTCTTTCCCTCTCGCTCTTTGTCTTCTACTCGCTGTGTATACATTTTAGGTTAAGGTTCGAATTTGTGTAGTAGACGAATGTAGCCTTTGTGGTATTTCAAATAAACCCGAAATAAAAATAGTACGGCTGGGAAGATCACTCATGTATCTGGAGGCCGCCATTGTCATACAGCTACCAGGGTGCCGGTTTGCTGGAAAAGTGTACAACCGTCGAAGCACATGAAAAAGCATTGTTTTCGCATATCGATATTTTTTATTGACGCCAGTGTCATGTGTTGTCAATCTAATGACAGTTCGGAAAATGTTGCCAATTGGGGCTGTAGTGATTGAAGTCACAAAGTTCGGGATTTATTTAAATTGGAGTGTGCTGATCCATATGATGCACACGTTGTTTCCTATAAGAACAGTTTTTATTCATCTGATAATTTTCAGTATATCTAGGACTAGGTATGTACATTGGTGCAGTATTTATACATTCAATGATTTTGTTTCGTTTGCACATGTCAAAATAGTGAATGCTTTTTGGTAGATTTTGCTGTAATATTATTAAACAGGGATGAGGAACTTGTTTTTAAAAATCTGCAAAAGATTCGCGAAGAACACAAGTATATATACATATATATACGAACAAGTTTTTGCTTTGTGTGGTAGGGCAGACAGTGAGATTTAGTGCCTCGGATAGTTGTTGAGGGCGGTACTAAGATGATACTGAAAAAGAGACGGACGAAGGACTGTGATTTTGGGCAAGTATAGAAAGCGAAAGAAAAAGGATCATGAGAGATCGAATTAAAATAAAAACATCACAGAGATATTGGCTGTTATTCAGGAAAATTATCAAACGTAACAGGATATATACAGAAAGAGCCAGCGACTTGTCGTAGACATAAATGTCTAATATGGACAGCAGACCTAAGAAAAAAATCTGGCTGAAGAAAATGGAAAGTAAACAACAGCGAGAATGTCCGAAAAATATACGTGACAGAAATATGGATAAGTCCCCTGTGAAATGGAGTTGCCGCTGGTGCGGTATAGATGGCGATAATCCATAAAAGAGAAGAACAGCGACAGAAAATAAACATAGAGCAAAGACATCTGGTTAACATTAATAAGGACACCAACAAAAATCAAATCTAGCGTTAATATATGTTTACGTCAGCGCAATAAAGATTCGCGATTGTGGTCGTCAACAATACGTATTCGTTGTGTGATTACTGTCGTTGGCTATTTTTTCGTACCTTACTATTTTTTTGTTTATAAATGGATAATAGCGTGTTTTGTCTACGATATATGCAACACTTTACTGTGGTAAGTAACTTAATTTGAAGTCTTTAAAAGAGCACGAAAGAATCTGCCATGATTTTTTACAGTTCACTCGAACGTTAAGTAGGACACCAAAAGCATTGATTTGAGCGCTTACATAGGTTAGCATTACTTCTAACAGTTTAGGTTGATAAAGACAGCAGTCGAAATGCACGAGTAGCTATTACGCATCTAAGGCAAAAGTAAAACAATTGAATTTCGACATACAAATTTTTTATTGCGATCATTTTACCGTGTAACCAATTTCATGGACGAGGACCCTCGATAATTGTTGCGAAGTATTGCCTATAGCAAAAATTAAATGTAATTTAAGAGTCCTAACAGCAAACTATGCTATGTTCAAATAGCTGAATTGTATTTTACACGTAAATAAAATACATGGCGGTAATGTTAACGACTACATTGCAGCTAACAGAATCTGCGTATAATTGAATAGACAAGCGGCTTGTGTTAGACGGTGTTTGTGCGGCATAGTAATAACTTTTACTATACTAGTAAACAAAGTCAGAGGTAGCAATGTGGGGCGTAATAAGAACAGTGTAATGCTTACTATTCATCTTTATGCGTGGTGACTAATAAATACAATTGTAGTCTGCCCGCCAATATTCAGATGTGCTATGATAGACAAATATACGCATATGTGTAAGTAATTGCTTATATCTAAATACGAAGAAAGTTGTTGTGTGCAAATGAATTGATCAGCTCAGAGAACGATTATATAAATACGTAATAATTAAATGGACAAAACATATACAGGTTGAGTAATTTGTCGTAGTCTTTTATCAATGCCGAAATACTCACACTTGACAATAATAGATCTCAAATCATTTATTTAGACCATGAGTCATATCCCATAGACTGTTGGCAAACGCTGTTTGGTGCCTTTTTACTTCCCATTGCGACACGCTATTGCGATGAAATCGGTTCAACGGACGAAGTTCAACTCATTTTGATATCGATGAGCTATTTGTCTATTCTGCAAAGAGTGACATGACGCAGACAGTAATTATGAGCCGAACAAACAATAGATCAAAACTGGCTTCGTATCGCAAAATACACATTCACCGGTTTACAGAATAATAAATATTCGCCTAACCCTACATCTAGGAGCAATACTATTGTATCTATTTCTTAAATAAACTAAGTATAAATGGCATCGGCAGTCCACAAGCCTCAATGTTCAAGCGTTGTCATAACTTCGTCTAGCTAAATATTGCCAACCCCTGCGTAGTAACATCCCAGATGTCAACAGCAGGAAGGGTGGCAAAGCCCATAACATGGCGACGAGGAAAGCGAGCATAGAAGAGAAAAAGAGTCAATGAAGTCATCCCATTGAAGTTTTACTCGTGTGCCTCAATGATTTATCACATAAAAGACGGATCGGCAGATAGTTGGACAGTTTTATTTCTGTGTATGCCTAGGCTATGTGGATGGTTTTTTAAACTGCTTAGAATTCCTGTGTGGAACGACGCGCCTGGCAGACAATATCATGCAAGTGATGTCCATCAATGAATTTGGAACCAATGAGATGTCGGGTGCCACTGTGTTTGCTGTTTCGACCATTGTTACAGTTGCTATTGCTACTGATGTTGCACAAGGTGATGATGGCTCGAAAGGTTTGAGGCGCGCGCGACGATGCCTCTGGTGATAAGCATAAGCTTGATTTGTTTGGCCGTCAATAGTTTCTTGAAGCGACATCAAATAGTGCTTTTCATTTGTCAGGATTCATCGGCAGATTTTTTGCATGGCTTAAGGTTGTTCTGTTTGTGACGACTTGAATTTTCGTTTAGGACTATTGCATTCGATGCAGTGTCTTCAGAGACGGCGGCGATTGCGACAGCGTGCGGTCTCTAGGAGAGTGCCTTTGCAGTTGCTAATGTTGGACTATATCCGGCGACAAATGTTCCAGTGGAGCAGGGTAAAAGGATGGTGGGTGAACATCGTTACTCGTCGGGCCCGATTCCGCCATACCTTTACCGAAGACTAGCTGTCTTCGTGTAAGCGGCGCTAATCTTCCTCCAGTTGGTAGCAAATCGTAGTTGAGCATGTTTGATGGAACTTGTTTGTTAAAAGTCACGATTTTATGAAGTGGTTGATTGAAGTGAAAGGACTGATTTGGCCGAACGTGATAGGCAATAGAGGGTGGCAAGTAAGATGGGGTCCCTGGGTAGGGCACGACAAGCTCCCGAAATTTCATCTTTGCACTAGGGTCGTTGGTATTAGAAAAACTTGAGAAGCTATGAAACAGCGGTGATGATACGCGCACTTGAGGAACGCTGTGTGTTTGCGACACAGCAAGGTCGGTGGCGGGTTGCCTGTGTACAAATTTGTTATAAGGATTTATTAATCCCATTGAGCCATGCGCCAAGCCGCCCTTGATAAAATTTGCTGGGCGGCCCTGATGACGAAGGGAAATAGACATTACTTTCGGTTCACTTCGATCACCGCCGATAAATTTGAGCAGCGAATTATTCATTTCAAACCTTCGATACCTACGGCTAGCAAAAGGTACTCTGGTAATGAGCTCCTTTGGAGTTATGACACGGTACTTAAGGTGTGCTTTATGCGGGATAAAGTAAAAATATTTCCGAGTCTTTTTTGCATCCAGGGCCTGTGGCAGTAACAATGATCCCACACATTGCAAATATGACAGGTGTGGTACATATACTGGAAATGTATTTTCAATAGACTGCTCCGATTGAGGTTCTACTCCCAGTGATTTGAGATTATTCGGAACAACTTTGCCTCGTTGTAGCTTTTTCATGAAATCATTCATAAGCGAATTATCCACATCTATTTTACTTAGCCACCTAGGGTTTAGGCGAACTGCCGCAGGGGTTTTTGCCCATTTGTCGATAGTAAAGGTATTGTAAGCCGGTGGAGATTCCATGGGAGCAACAGCGCTGCTTTCAACTGCCTTTAATGGGCCGGCAGTGAACAAGCTTACCTGATTATGTAGCGAAGGCGCATTCACATTGTGTAACGGCCCAGTTAAGGGAATATTTGGTTCGTGAAACATTTCCATCTGGCCCGTGACAGATAGTCGAGATCGGTGTCTTCCTTGAACAAATGTGTCCTGATAATTATTCATTATTGATATTGGCGTATGTGGAGTAACGGTAATCGTATTGAACGCCAAGTTCTCATGAACTATAAGAGCTTCATCAAAAAAAATCTTTCCTCTTAACAAAGCGCTAATTCCCTGTTCTCTGTTCGTGATGATCGATGCTCCGTTGGGCTGGGTTCGTGGCAAACTTGATCGACGATCAACCCTGTGAATGCCAATATAACGTCTATCATTAGAAGAACCTGTGGTGTCGATTTGGGGTTTTCTAACGACCCTGGTACACGGAATGCATCGAAGAGATTTGTCGACAATATTTAACGGCAACTATAAAATATAATAATGTAACAGATATAGCACGACGTTAAATATATTATAGTCTTCAAGGGCCCTTTCTGCAAGAAAACCAAAATTCTCACTAAATGCTTTTGTATGTATCCGGGCTGAACATGGTACAAGTTTGCTTATTTGCTTGCAAGGTCTTTTAAGGTATTGGAAAATATAATTTCCCACGGAAATCACTCTCTAAGGGAACTCCAAAATAAACAAAGAGTTTTTTCTGAAAACTTGATTATCCTTGGACTTTTTTGAAGTTCACCCTACAAGAGTTTCGGGGTCCTGTATTTATCTTTGTTCAGTTTTAACAGTGCCGGATCACAATATTTTTACCTTCTTTTTCGCCACGGAAGCTTGGCAGCTCTAGCAAGAGCCTTCCACTATGTTTCTAGGTGACTCCTAATAGTTGGACGATGGCAGTCAGTAAAAAGTAATGTGTACGAAGACGTTCTACCCAGCATCAAGAAGTAGACCGCTGCATATGATAGCATACAATTCTACAAATCTATCAAAAATATATACCACTCTATAATAGAGTAGTATATATTTTTGAAAGTCCTTATCTTGACAGATGCTGTCATCTGCTAAAGGGGGCTAGCTGATAGCCCAATATGATGCATTCGATCACGTTCGCCAAAACCTTAAACGCGCTAATATTCAAAGAGCTTTAATGGAGAAGGTAATAAGCTTCGCATACCTTCTATGAACAACCAGAGAGTACAGGAGAAATGGAAACAAATAAGAGAGACAATTCCTAACAAAAAAGAAGTAAGGTCTGCAGAGATGGAAATTTCTCAGCGGCAGAAAGAGTCGATTCGCTGACTTGGCGGCATCAGCTCTTCAGACAGATTAGATAAAAAGAAGCCTGATTTGACTATTATGTTTGATTCAAAATATCCAGATTCAAGTAAGTAAATATGTAAGCTAACAACACTTTTTTACATTACGAAACGCAGCCTTAAAAACACTACAATAACGCTTATTCACAAAGTAGGCTCTGTTGTAACTTTGGGGATCTAGAGTTTTAAAAAACTGTAAATATTTGGTCAGTGCAGTGAATTTTTGAATGCTTTCTAAGGTTAGTTCAGCATGACATATATCGGCTTTGTTAAGTATTGCATATTTATAGTATTCATAGCAGGCAGTCAACCTGAACGCATAAAGTCCTAAAATCACTTAAACTGTCTGAAATAGATTTCTCCTTCCGCCTGAACTACTCCCTATGACTTATTTTGTTCTGCTGGAAGCACGAGTTTTTTTTTACAGCGCTTTTTCATATACCGCCGCATCATAATCGTCTGCAATGCCATTGTTTAGCAATAAATTAAAAAAGCGTTTAGATTTCTGTATATATAACTCATAGACACTCAAATCATGAACTTCGTTCGTTCGAGTGCTCGAACTTAAATTCGAGTGCTTCAGAAATGTAATTTTTGGTATTTGAAAGTTTTCTGTGCAGAAAAAACGCTTTAAAATACATTAGAAATTATAGAAAAATAGTATTTTTCGAAGCATCGGATATTCACAGCACTTAGTAGCAGATGTCTGAATTGTGTATTGTATGACTATTTTTGGCGCCTTCAACCCTCGCTGCCTTATGGCGTTAAGAGCCCATAACAAAACAACAAATATATACGTGGCGGTGATTGTACAATACAAAGAATAGTACTTTAAAAAAATATATATAATAATGATAGATTATAGGACAAAAGATATCGTTGGGCTGATCGCAGCTAAAGCATAAACATGGTATGAGCTTAAAGCTATTCAGCTCGTCAATTCCCATAGAAAAATTATATCGTTCAATTCAACCAGGACTCTCCAGTCCATTATAAATAAAACTTCGCAATATTAATGTAGGGGTCGGTTGCACATAACTTTACATAAGCATATGTCCATTTATGTAATGGAGGAGTACCAGTCCTCTCTTATAGACAACAACTGTGTTGATATTCTTGAAAGATAAACTTGAAGGCACGAGAAGGATGAATAAGGTAAGGGTACCGACTGATAGCTGTCTTTTACCAAGTTACTTTGTCAAAGCTCGGATTGAAATGATGACTGGATATGGATAGGTATAGGCGTTACTTAACCTTTGTCTTTATCAGAATTAGTTTAAAATGCAACTGTTGCTTTCTGTTTCGAATATATGTTGCATCGTAACGAACAGACACACGTACAAATATATAGAAAGTACTGAAGCTTTATTTTACGAACTTCCGTAAAGCGCTGCACTTTGAGATACCGATGCAGACAGAACCTGTAAGTTGTCAATTTCAAAACTTTTTACTAGGCCAAGTTTTGGCTATCGAGGCACTGATCTACGTCAACATGGAAAGTAAAATGTGTAAAGCTAGTTAAAACGAACGGTAAAAAGCAGTAGAGAATAAGTATTACAACGCAATGCCTCTCTCCGAGGTACGCTGATTAAGAAAGCGCGGGTATTTGTATCTGAAAATCATTGAAACGCAGCAATGAAAGTAAACATCGGAGTTTTTTTTCATTGATTTAGGCGCCGCAATTGGTAAAATAGACTAAGACTTGACTTAGATTTTTATGTACCTGCTTATATGCAAGCTAGCCATGTTGTCACAAATAGATTGCACTAGAAAAAAAAGATAGTAAGAGTAAGCATTTCACCTTAATACCGCTGATGTACCAAAATTTGGCTTCAGTGAGCGTATTGGTATACAGACACGTCACAGTTGTTCAACTTAACGCAATTTATGTGCACTTTCATTTAACTATAGGTCGATTTTCAAATATAATCTAAGTTTTAACTTATAGATGCAACTCATATTTCTATCGTTGTTTCATGAATTTCAAGGATAGCGCTTGCTTCGAGAGCGGACTCACTGATACTAGGAGGTTTTTTAATCCCACAGGCAGAAGCTTCCCACAATCGAGCATTTAGAATAGATCGACAGCAAAACGGACATAATATAGCCTGTTCAGATCCATACGGCACTCAAATCTGAGCGGAAACTATCAGACATTTATTAAACTGAGTTGCGAGTATCTATTGTTTGGGTTAGTCGACTGAACGACTTCCTGAAAACGCCATGCTCAGTCAGAAACTTTTTGCTGCATCAACTTTATAGTACAGAGACAAACCCTTCATTTTTTTCAGATTTCCTTTGACCGGATTTATCCTGATCGCGTTTCTCTCTAACCGAATGTGATTCCAGTTCTTTAGTACTGTAATAAGTTTTTCTCTCTGTCTTGGCACCGTGCACTGTTTTCGTAGCATGCATATACCACGCAACTACAATTAACACTACATTCAAAGTACACCACCGCATAGTCTTCAATTAGGCTTTATTCACAGCTGGAACTGCTTTGTTTCCCAAGTATGTTTCGCAGTACTTTGATAGAAAACTTTTCTAGATGTGGCCTAAAAAAATCTTCGGCACACCTGCATAGGCCTGCTTCCATCAGCAACTGTCTTCGCTAGTGTCAGTTCAGCTAGATTTTGGCAAGCGAGGAGGAACCGCGTACGTTATCATGTAGTAGACCCTCGTAATCCGCCCTTACCTTTCAGGAAACATGGCAAGGCCGCTGCGACTGGTGCGCGATTCAAAACGAACCTATACGGCTTAGAGCCTACGGCTCCAACCCTTTGGGCCTTATTGTGCTAACTTGACTTACATCATAGCCTGCTCACACCGACTCCTTCCTTCTACGAAAACAAATGGGGTGCTGACCTGATGTATGGGTAGTGTAGATTTCTCGGGCGGAAATTCAGATGGAATGCCATTCACCGGTAATTACCTGCTATTTTCTTCTCGCAAGGAGGAACTCTCGCAACATCGTCGTGAAGAACGTAAGTGTGGGTGGTCGCTGATGAGTACCGTGAGAACTGCCAGGTAAACGACTGGGCAGCGCAAACAATATTTAGACCGATAATGAAGACGACGAAATGCGACTCCGTCGTAAAGCAAGCGAATTCTGCTTTACTGTTTTTTGCCCCTCATCGGCTAGTAGGTGTTGCTCGAAAAGTAGTGGATTTGTTGACTCAACTAGTGGAACAGGCAAGATCAGTTCGCGCGTTAAGCAAGACAAGATTCAATTTGCTGGTCCGTATGTTCACATGTGCGCTTGCGAACGGAACATAAATACGGCAGTGAATAGTAAGATTATTAATTACGAATTTAAGAAGACAAGAGGACGTTGACAATGAATGATTAATTCATCGAAATTCGTAACGTTTGATGAAAAGAGCCCTTTTAAGTTGGTTAACTTCCAGGAAGCATCGGAAATGGGGCAGCGGCAATGTGGCCGTGTCGGGCTCTTTGTGCACTGTGTTTTCCAAGCTTTCAAGGGTTAATTGCTTATACTTGAGTTATAATATTACGAAAAATGGTCTCGGAAGTGAAACATCTTTGTACAATGCAAATAACATTGTGTCCATGAGTAACATGAGTCCATAGTCCAAGTCATACCCATGTGAAACAATTTTTATCCCAGAAAGTTACCTTAAGGGACAGACGCGGATTGCAAGTGAAACGCGTGACATTATTGCTGAGTACGGAAGTGTCATTGCGTGTTAATTTGTTTATGGCATATGTGTTTGCTAACGGTTTTGTGTTCGTGTGCTCTCCACGAATACACCATCGAATGATCGAAATTACAGTTTGGTTTATTGCTGAGAAGGAAGGTCTGGGCGCGGGTAGGCTCGTACTTGTAGTACGAATGCTGTATCGCCTGCCTAACTCCACGGTGTTTCAATATATTTTCCGAAATAACGTTTTCGCACTTATTGGACTCTTCTGCATGCCCAGTCGTGTTGCTGACCGCGTTTTCACCTTCTATTAGGAACTGCTGCAGGATCTGTTATACATAACTAGAAAGAGTTATTCGTTCTCGATGAAA